GAAGAAGAAGAAGAAGAAGAAGAAGAAGAAGAAGAAGAAGAAGAAGAAGAAGAAGAGAAAAACTTACCTGCTGAAGCTGAGGTGCGATGGAGTTGGGCTGGGGAATGAAGTCTTCGGTTCTCCTCCCTCTCCAAYCGAACTGAAGAAACCCTTATGCATGTAACCGAAGAAGAAGAAAAACACTTTGTATTGTTGTCTTAATAATAAAATAACGATAGTATGTAACCAGTTTTATTTTAAAAGAATAGAACATCTAATAAAATATCAAAATAACAATTTAAAAAAAAAAGTTGGTAGATGTATGTAGGCGCCCGCTTAAGTCTTTGGACGAGCGCCTAGTATACAAAATTCGGGGCGTTTGGGCAAGGCGCCCATGGAAAACTGCCTAGTCACCTTGACAACTATGATACAAAAAATATACAGGATGCAAGGCAATTCACACACTTGAGCTAAGTAAGGGGTAGACTAGATACAGTTCTAACATTTGGCAATTCCATTTTTTCACACTTGTTAGTCCAATATTTTACCATTGAACCAAGTAATGGACTCTAACTTAATATACATGAATAGACAAAAAAGATCACCTAATCAAGTAGGAGATTGTGTGTAGAAGTGAAGAGGAGGGAGGTTTGGGATTATGAAATGTGGTTCAAAAGACTCTAGCATTATTGGGGAAATGGTTGTGGAATTATCCCTTGGAGAGAGAGAAGCTATGGCATGAAGTGGTGGAATAAGTATTCATGACTGTTCAGAGAATGGGTGGGATGCTAGTGTATCACGATAGGCTTATTTGGCAACACCTTGGAAGGCCATTCACAATATTCTTCCTCAATTTCTTAGGTTAGGTTAGAGCTATAAAGTAAGTCGTGCTACTCGCGAGCCAACACAATATGGGCCATGCTAGGCATGATCCGCAGCCCAATGCAACATGGCTTGCTAGCATGGCCTACACACACACACACACACACACACATATATATATATATACACGATATAATTTTTATTTGCAATTTTATTTTACTATTTTATTCCAATTTTTTCAATTTCATTTTATTATTTCATATATAAACAATTGTATACTTCAAAATTCATATAGAATAAAATTTTAAGATTTTTTTTTTCAATTTCTTGTCTATCTCATTATTTTTCCAGTTTTTTTTATCATGCTACCCGTGGCCCGACCCAGCTTGGTACAATAAGGCCCATGCCGGGCTTCCCTTTTGAGGGGTTCTAGGCCAGGCAAACATGGCCCGCCCAAGCCTGCATGCTGGCCTTGGCGGCCCACAAAAGTGGGTTGTGCACCACATTACACCTCTATGTTAGATATGATGCTTGTTTTAGAAACTTCGTTCAGTTCTATGAGGATATTTGGGTGGGAGATACTACTTTAAAGGACCTTTTCCCTTATTCTCTGTCTCTTTGTATAAAGGAGGTTGTCTCAAAATTTCTCTGTTTTGGAAACTCCTTTGGCTTTTGTATGTAGGGTTGCAAATGGACTGAATCATGATTTGGTCCGAAGTCTGGTCCTATTTTGTTGGATTCGAATATCACTATTTTGGACCGGATCGGATAATCAGATCCGATTTGAAATTAGGTCGAATTTGAATCACCCTTATCCAATCTGGTATATATATGTAATATGTTATTTATTTATTTATAAATATGTTATTTATATTGCATTTTTTGTAAGTTTTTTATAAAACATGTATATATATGATAAAAATAGTTGAAAAAATACTTGTATTTTTTTGTTTTTATTTATTTAAATTGTTATACTTTCCTTTTAATAATTTATTATTTTTTAAATGAAATCGAATCAGATCATATTTGGATATTCGACATCCTAATTGGATTCAAATTTGAATTAGTATTTATGAGATCCGATCGGATTTGGTTTGAATATACCCTGATTTGAATCCAATCCGATCTGTTTGCATCCCGGGTTAAGGGATGAGGAAATTGAATGCCTATCTAGCTTCCTTTGTCTCCTCAATAAGTTTTGTTTAGATCCTTTTAAGCTAGACAAAAGAGTTTGGATTCCTAGGTCCAAAGGGACTTTCTCTTGTGCTTCTTTTAAGTCCTTTTGTCAGTCTTCCTCTCAACAGGTTTTTCCCTCTAAGGAAGTTTGGTGCAGGCTGATTCCCCCTAAGATTATGGTTTTTTGTTGGGAAGTGTTCCATGGGAAAGTAAATACTTCAAATAACCTACAAAAGAGACGACATTTCTTTTGTATTTCACCTAGTTGGTGAATTTTTGTAGATCTCATGGTGAGGATTACTACGACTTACTAATCTTCTGTTCTTTTACTATAGAGTTATGGGATTGGCTTTTTTTGATGTTTGGGTGTAGGTAGAATATGCCAGCAGAAGTCAGCATGATCTTTAACCCTTCTTCCTTCACTTGGCCTAACAAAAGAGGAAGAGTTATGTGGAGATGTTCTAGAGCAGTTTTAATTTGAACAATCTAGGAAGAAACTAGAAAGGAATGCCGGGATCTTCCAAGAGATGAGGAACAGCCAAGATTTGAAGGAATGCGTGCTGAATAGGGCAATACATTGGCTAAAGACTTTGGAACTTTTCCATCAATTATCTTTTAATGATTTATGGAGAAATTGGTTAGCAGTTGCAAGGTGCTCCTCCATTAAGAATAGGGTAGCTACAAGGTGGGCTCCCCCTTCTAAAGTGTGAAGTTGAATTTTGATGGGAGCAGTCCGAGCAACTTAGGGCTTTCTGGAATGGGAGGGGTTCTGAGAAATGAGTTTGGAGAGGCTGTTTTTCTTCACTTGGGTCATTTGGGATTTGGAGATTCTGTTAGGGCAGAAATACTAACTGCTTTACAAGGGAGTGCAATTTGCAAATCAAATTGGGTGCGGAGCAACTATTAATTGAAGGGGATTCCAAAGTGGCAGTGGGGTGGTTGAAGAACCCTAAGGATGCTGTGTGGTGCTATAAGAATGAAATAAAGAAATTTAAGTGGCTGACAAGGAATATCTCTAACAAACTAATAATACAGTGGGTGGGGAGATCAGAAAATGCTTTGGCTGATGGCTACCACGCAGGGGGAAAATAAAGAAGTTGTGTTTTGGGCTCAGCTGTAACATGTTTTTAGTCTCTATTAAACCTGCTTTTAGTCTCCTTGTAATCTGTTGGGAGAGGCTGCAGGCTGCAGCTCGTGCCTCTTCAAGGGATGTTGTGTCAGTTTCAAGTTCTGAATTAATATTTTATTTACTCATAAAAAAAGAATATGCAAATATAAATTCTGAAAGAAATTAAGTATTTCAAAAAGCTCATTAATTTAATTGGTTAGAGCTTCTTGTTGAGAGCACAAAAATTGTGGCCTTGTATGTTCAAGTCCATCATCAGAATATTAGAACTGTTTAAAGTCTAAATATCATAGATAAAACTTACAATAGAATAAGGTGGGTAGTGTTTTCTGGGATGGTACGGGTTATATTCTGTTGATCTACTTGGGGCCAGTTGGGGAATGAAACTTATTGAGAGTTGAGCTCTTCTCCTTTCTACAGGATTTGAATTTTGCATGTTGATTGTGCTGAAAAAATATTATCTTTCAAGGGGATCTTTTGGTTGTTACAGGTTTTTGATTGGATGGCTGCTAGTACTGCAGGCCTATGGTTATGGACCCTTGGGTATATAACTAGCCTCTATTCTAAATATCTTGTTCAGATGGATCCCTAGACCAGAAAATGACTTGGAAGATTGGTTTGTGTGGTAAGGGATGCATTCAAAAGATCACTGGTTTGGGTATATAACCAGTCCTAGGGATGCATTCAAGAAATCACTTGTTATTTATGTTTTTCTGGTCCGTTTTCTTTTTTAATGGTTTGCTAATTTCTGTGTATTGTCCTACCTATTATCTGTTCTCAAGCTTTGGGATTTTTTTTTGATAAATGCTACTTCGATTATCTATAAAAAAATGCTACTTTGATTGGTATTGTTATAAAATCAGTTTCTAAAATCAACAGCTACCTAAAAAAACTCGAAGTAACAATCTTCTAATTTAAAAAACTTAAATACTAAATAAGACTTCCTTTATCACATTGACCATAATTTGCTTAATCAATGTATTTTTTTTATCAGCAACTTAAAATAGATTTATTAGAACTTAAAAAGAGAATAGTACAACAAGAAGTTGTTAGAGATAACACCCAATACAGCAGAGAGCCCCACTACCCAGCTAAGATTGAACTGCTTAATCAATATATGAATCACACAATCTTGCTCTTGTTGGATATGTAATAAATTGACATATTTAGTGGCACCATAATCAAGCTAAAGGTGTAAGTTTAGACCCTCAGGTTGAATGACGGATCTAATTGAGTTCCTTCTCTAGACTAGAGTTGAGATCCAAATAACTTACAAATGGCTTTGATTATTATCTCCTGTGTGTCCTGCATCATCCAGAGGCCATCTATTATTGCTGTTCTCTCGAAGTGCTATTCATTCCAATGCATTTATTGCTTAATTTAGAAAAACCAACTAGAAGGAAATTGTTCTGACATGTAACAAGGGTTCTGGGCTGGAATTTGCCTGGAAAGGGAGGTGAGAAGAACAAATGAGGCCCTCTTGGGCCTCTCCCATGATGATATCATTGTGTAATATTACTAGGTTGAAATTTTCCTGGAAAGGGAGGTGAGAGGAACAACTGAGGCCCTCTTGGGCCTCTCATCATGCTATCATAGTGTATTATTACTGGGTTGTGTAGGCTCTGGACTTATTTTCCAGATATTTCTATTCCATTTGAAAACCATGTTATTTGTTATCCAAATTGGATTATTAAAAGTGATGAGAAATACTGGATGGATGTGAGATGTGGAAAATCTCCTCTCTACAAGTGGCATAGATTTCCTGTTCATTTTCAACTTGATCAATTATTAAGTATTTTAAACTACTTCTATCAAACAATTTTCCTGCTGTTCTAATACACTGAATTTGCTTGCCATCCACTCCTCCTTGACAACCCTCGGACTATGTTTTTTTAATAAGCTTCCTATATATGAAATGTTTTCAGGCCATACATGGTGAGGAAAGGGGAGAAAAAGCTGCCCTACTTCTTTCTCCACTGAAGCCAGCAGTCCGGAACCAATCCAATGTTGATTTCACAGAGAATGGTAGTCAATTTACATATTTCCTCACTGATCCTCTGCAGGCTTTCTGCCATCTGGTTGGACTTAGCCATTGGGGTGCTGATATAGTGAGTTGACTTGGACAGTGTTATCTTCCTATGAACCTTATCTGTTGATTTCCCTGGTCTAAATTGTTTGTGGGTTCTGCTTGCAGGATGCCCACAACAAAGCTGATAGCATACTCTCCAGTGCCTTCTCAGAATGGGAAGTTATCCTCTGTACATCCACTTCCCTGGATCTGGTCTGGGCTCAAGTTTTATCTGATCCATTTCTGCGGCGGCTTATTGTTAGGTATTCATTTCTCTGCTTTGCTTTTAGGTCATCAAGGTGGCTGAACAGTGCATGTTGGTTTTGCCCTCCCTAGGTAAAGCATCTGGTAAATGGAGTCAGCCACCAAAAGATGTTGAAAACGAATGGGTGTAAATAGAGATTCTAAATGCATGAGCATCTGTGACTATCTAAACATGTCTAGTTCTCACCTACTGAAATTTGACAAGGTTTATATTGGGTTTAGATGAATATTAGTCAGAACGCAGGGCTTACACATCTAACTTTCATCACCCCTATTTTTTCCACGCTAAAAACAAAAAGGTCAGGACTTACCACTGGTCCCATATTGAATATCCCTCTTAAACTAAAAATTAGCCCAGGCTGGACATACCGCCAGCCAAGCTTGGCCAACGTATCTCTCCATGTAATGATCTTGTCCAGACATTGCAGAATTATTCAAATGACAAAAACGACTACTACTATTTTGTTGGTGAATGCTCATTTAACTGATATGCATTTTCCAGGTTCATTTTCTGCAGGGCTGTTCTCTATTCTTTCTGTCATTCTGGGGATGTTGATCAATATCTGCCTGATTGCCTACCACATCTTCCTGAATCTCTCTCTTCAAACTCCAAAGTGGTGCAATCTAGTATCCTGCAGCTTGTGAACACTCTTGATGTTGGAGATTGTTTTAACTTCAAAGACACATAATTGAAACCAAAAGTCCACTAAAGTTTGCAATTGAGATCGTCGTCTTCTGCACTGCTATAGGATTAGTAACTCCATTTTTTGGCTCACCAATGCGCTTGTGAGAAAGCTGCGCAATGATGGCAAGGCTATTGAATGAATGGATTCAGGTGAGAAATATAGAGAAAAATATTTATTGGGGGTTGATGTGCTCTTTGTTATTACAGGTTCGGGGATGCTCAATCCTTTGATGGATTTCTCTTTTATAGTTGCAGATGGTGGTTGATGCTTTGCAGGTGTTTGGCCCTCCTTTGTGTTAATTTGTATATGGGGCATTTGTGCTGTATAATTTGATATCGAGGCAATTGGTATAAGAAAGTAGATTTTTTTTTCTGTACCTTGTAAAAGAAATAATTGACCGATGAGGAGATGGTTATTTTTTCCACCTTGAATGGCAGCTCCTCTTGAACTAATAATCAGTGAAAGATGAGAAAAAAGCTTACTCCACATGGTGAACTAAGTTGGCAGCCCAAGCGGGTCTGTGTCTGTGTTTCATCACATCATTTCCTTGTGTTTAAGGGTAATCCCAGTGGTTCTCCTTTAATTTTATGATTATGAGTAATTAATAAATTTGCGGGGGGAATAGTAGCAGAAGCATGGATAGCATGGCCAATCCACCACAGTACCATGTGGAAAAGTTACACCTGTTAGATTCTAGGGCAAACTATCGCCTTTTTGGGCCCTTATTCTGGTGGTGTTCATTGTTCACCAACTCCATTCATCTGGATTATTGAGTATGCGTTTGTTTTACAAGTGTTCTTGCGAAAACGCTAAATTAATTGCGTTTGACACTTTGTTTTTTATAAAACCGCTGTTGCAATGATTAGCTTCGGGATTTGGAAAGTTATTTTAAGGGATCTTTAGATTGCACTCCATCTCAGAAATCTGATTTGAATTGTGGACTTATAACAATTCAAAATTATAAACAGCTCCACTTATAACACTCATACCAGTTCGGAATTGATTACTAGGATTTCTGAGGTGGAATGCAGTCTAAAAACCTCCCTTTTTTATGGTCTCCTTGTTAAGGTGATGTGTCATATTAAAAATTGAAAAAGCTGACATTTTTTCCGAGATGTCATATATTTATCATTATAAGTATATTGTAGTAATTAAAAATTTTAAATGCCCAATCGGCTTGCATCTCTATCAAAAATGATTTTTGTTTTGTTTTTCAAGAAAAACAGATGAAACTTGTAAGACGATTAAGTATGTGTTGGGCATAGCTTTCTTTTAAATGTTTGTAATTAATTTGCTTGCAAAACCAAGAAAAGTAATAATGTAACATTTTTAGGTGTCATTAGGCACCACATCAGTATAACATTGAATAAACATCCAATCATTGGGGGAAGCTTTAAATGGTAGGTATGCCAACTTTTACAAGTCTTTATTCATATGAATCAGTATGATTGATTAAATGCTGAAGTGGCACCAATGTGGTAGCGTTTATTGAAAAAAATGCTCACGGTTCCAAACACCACTTAAACCAAACATTTATAAAAAGCTATAGACTGAGTTTTGGATCAGGATCTGTTTGTGTATTTTGAATTTTGATGGTAGGCTTATATGTTGTATCATATTTGTCATATTCAAGCTGGTCCTCGACACAGGAGTGCATTTCTTTTGGGAAAATTCTTTATTAGTAGTTTAGTACCTGAATTTTCAAAAACTATCTAATAGGTCCCCGTTGTTAACAGTTCATCAGTTATCATATCACGTGATGAGGTGCTACTTAAAAAGAAAACACTGATCACTGTCTTCTACAATGAGACTAAACCAAAATAGACATTATTTTAGGGTAAATTTCTTAAACTACCCTTATGGTTTAGCTAATTGACTAAGTGCACCGATGTACTCTTACTGTTTGAAAATTAACTGATGTTACCCCTATTGATTTTGACAATTGTCTAAACATTACCAAGGCTATTAAACATGGACGAAAAAATGTAAAATGACCATTTCATCCTTAAATTCAACTGGATGGAGCCATTGGACGGCAACAAAGAACTGAGAGAGAAAAAAAAATCTCTTGTATTGTTTCTAATTTGAACCCAAATCTGAGATAGCCCTGATGAGAGCCACCGAAGATATCGACGGTAGTAGAGATCTGAGAGAAAAAAACTAGTCTGGAGATGAGCAGGTATTTATAGGACAAAGGAAAAGAAAAGGTGGGATCTAAAATAATCCAAATCGTCGCTACTAAGAGTTGCAGCGGCGATGGTAGGGGAGGATAAATAGGGAGGTGAGGTTGAAGAAGAAGGAGAGAGAGATGTGAGATCCCCGTCCATCGCCGAAAGACCAGTTATGATCGGTTAGGTTCTATGAATGGCCACCACCGCCTACACAATTGCAACGACAACATCTGCTATGGATACCATGGCCACAACCACCATAATGTGTGCTTGTTCTACTCCTTCTCAACCTCAGTGTCATAAGACCTCAACCAAGTAGCATCCGCTTGAGTTGTTTTTCGGAATGCTAGATGAGATCTGACCCATTCTCTTCAAATCCTTCCTTGACTTGCCAAAACTCCATCTTCTATTATCTTTTCGATCGTCGGAGCTAGAATTCTCCCTCTGTTCCTTATCTTTCTTTAGTCTAAGTACAATAGCTTTGCCGTCGTCAACAACAATACACCAACTGATGCAACAGTTTATGGTCTGTACCAGTGCAGGGGAGGCCTCAAGACAAGTGACTATTCTAGGTGGCTCTCAAATGATTTGGGTGTTCTCCCAGTGAGAGAGAGAAATGCAGGGTGGTTGGAAAGTGACCGGTATATTCATTCATTTTTTTTTTGTGGTCTTCTGAGAGCTTCGACACGATTATCTCGTCCATTCCATTCGTCAATTATGGCTTTTAAAGCAATGGTAAGAGATAATTAGCGATGATTTGGTTAGTCCCTATGTTAAGTCCTTGTTTGGCTGCTTCAAGGTAAGATTTTGGTTGTTTTGCTTTGGTGTTAGGAAGGTTTTTGGCCAGGGCTAGGTCAAAATGAAAGTTTGGATTTTCTGGGCATTGTTCCCCTGATGATTTTTTTCCCAAGGGTTGCTCCTCACAAGGCTCCTATGAGGGTTGGTTTGATCATTGTAGTGGCGAACAGGGTACCTAAGTGGATTTGGTGGTATTCGCTCTCCCTGATGATGGTCATAGTGGAACTGGTTGTGGCTAGAAACGGCCTTGGGTCTTCCAAGAATCTTCTGTGTTGTCGGCTCGTGGCGCTGACGTTGGTGTCGTTGTTGTTGTTGATGTTGGTGCTGGTGCTACTGCTGACACTGGTATTGGCGCTGGTGCTGATGTTGGAATGACTTTGGGGGAGACTTCTTCCTGGTAATGACTTCCCAACCCATCCTAGTGCTGATGTGAGATGATTGAGACGGGGTCATCCTTGTAGGCACGACGCTAGCTTCGTGGGTATCTGCTTCCTGATAGTAATGCAGGGCCGAAATTTGTTTCCCATGTACCTTCAAGGCTGTTGTCACTGGAATCATGCAAGGGGAACACTCGTCCAAGATGAGCAAACTGTCTATGTGTGGCATGAGCGTTGCTTCCGCCTATACGAGAAACTCCATTCCCAAGACAACCTGAAAATCATCCCAAGGTACTACAGATAGATTGATGGGTCATTTCCATGACCCAACTTGGAGATCTACCCCACGAGCCATGCCTTCTACTGCCTTGGCCCCTAAATTGACAGCCTTGATCCACCCTGTCTGTTTGGTGGTGGTCAAGCTGAGTTGCTTTGCCTCCGCAAGCAAGATGAAGTTATGGGTGGCCCTAGTGTCCACCAAGGCTTGGGTCGGCCTCCCGCCGAGGGTGATGTCTACATATTTCAGCCCCTTGTAGGCTTTGGTGGGCCGCTTGGATGTGGCCTCTTTCTTAACCATGCCATTGATGAGTTGGAGGGCGCCTACTCTTGGTGCTGCTGTGGGTTTCTCCTCATCGCTCTCTCCACTGTTGCTGAGTTTGGCGATGAGGGCAGTGAGTTTCTTCTGTGTTGGACAGTCACTCATCCAATGATTCCCATTGCAAAGGTAAGAAGGCGCAGGAGGAGTAGTTGGTCTCCTAGTGAACCAGTGGCCCTGATAGCTTGGGCCTCCCTGTGGCTTCTTCCCTTGTTGCTAATTGTTGGGCTTGTTGGTGGGCACTGGTTTCTCCTGGGTAGAGGTTGATTTCTGATCTTCCCCACTCAAACCATTGGTACGCGGGCTATGTGGCTGGTGGTCTTCCTCTTCTGACTTCCTTAGATCAACTAGTTGCTTGGCCACCGCCATGTCTGTTGCTAAGTCCTTCACCCCACGCCATTGTAGTTTGAGCTCTGCCCATGGTTTGAGACCATCCATGAAGTTGAACAAAAAGTCTTTGTCAGACATGTCAGAGATCTCAAGGGTCAAAGCTGAGAACTCTTGGACATAGTCATGCAATGAGTCTTGGTGCTTCAAGTTCTTCAATTTTCTTCGTGCCAAGTACTCAACATTTTCGCGGAAGAATTGTCGCTTGATCTCTCTCTTGAAATCGGCCCAGGTGTTGAGGGTCCGAGTGCCACGTTCAATATCCTTGCAACATCTACGCCACCATAACATTGCAATATTATTTAAATACATGGCAGTTGTATGTACCTGAGTTTGGTCATCATGGATGCCAATCGCGGAGAAGTATTGATCAAGTTGCCACAAGAAGTTTTCAAGCTCCCGAGCATCATGAGCACCGGAGTATGGAGTTGGTTGGCTTACCTTGATGTGGGTGGATGGAGCAGATGAAGGGCTGGTGGAATTAACCATAGCTCTTTTCATGATTGTCAGCTCAGCCCTCATCTCATCCAACTGCGCTTGGAAGTTGTCCATCATGCCTTGAAGGCTGCTTTGGGAAGAGCTGGTTTGTGATTGTTGCACGGTGTTTTGGACATTTCGGAGGGCTCCGTTAAAGCGGCTCTCCAGCTCCACCACAGCATTCTCTACCGTTTCCATGTTGAGATGGAGTTCGTTGCCCCGGTCTCGAGTCTCACCTACTGTTGCCTCGCAGCGTAGGATGCACATGTCCATGCTAGCTAGTTGGTCGATAGATTTGTCACACTTGCTAGCATTAGTTGTGCGGCCCTTCAGGGTTTGTGTCATGGCAGGATCGTCAAGTGGAGCCTCATTGGTGTCGCGGGCTTGGTGCAACCCGTGTAGTATGTCATCGGCAATGTCACGGTTGCTCTTCATTGTGTTGAAGTAGGGACGAAGACAGGGTCCAATGTGTGTGTAGGAGCTCCTGCTCTGATACCAACTGTCACGGGGCTAGTTGTTGGGGCCCTATGCGGTACTCGAATGCGACGAGTAAGCCTAAGCAACAAGCAACAACACATGAAAATGCAACAAAGATGGCACACAAATTAGACAAAAGACAACTTGTATTGCATTAATGGATGGCAAGCATAAGCACACAGTTCAGTGTCGAGGGGATCTCAT